CCTGACCCTACATCCGTTAACATTGCTCGTCAAGGAAGGCGATGACCAGGCATACGTAACACATGTCCTAACCATCTCAGTCTTTGTAACTTCACGACTTCTTCGATTGATTTCCTCTGTTTACCTAGCACTCGACTGACGCCTCACCTCAATATTGCTCACCTTATTATGCCACTTTACACGGGAAATAGAGCGCAGGCACCTATGATCAAAGACAGCTAGTCTTTTCATGTCTTCCACATCTTATATAATCTGGATAACAAACGACTGACTGGCAGTCAGTACACTCACACAAACACACACACACACACGGAGAGAGGACAAAGACAATCCAAAGTTAAATTGTTATGATACTACAGCGGGGGGAAAAAATAACCGTTTTCATTTTGAGTTGTATCAATACATTATCATGTGATACAAAGCGCAAAACAAGGCAGACCCCACCCACACACACACAACAATAACAACACGAATTTATCTTTCAGTATAGCTTGTTCCTTTTCTTTTTGCTTTGCTTTGTCTTCTTACTAGTTCCTTTCCAGTCAACTGTTTATCATCCCTTTGTTATCTAATAATAATTATTATTATTGGCGATGCGAATCGGTACAATATAAATATGTATTCAAATATTGGTTTGTAGGGATCTGATTGGCTACAGGATTTCAGCATCAGCTGACATCGGTTAGAGAACCACTGGAAAACCTAGGAGTACTGAACAGTTGTTTCGACTCTTTAGCGATATGCACCCCCCCCGCTGGGGTTCAAACCCAGGACCTTCTGATTACCAGGTGAGCGCTTATAGACCATTAAGCCACTGGGACCCGGATTCGACGGTTTAGCTATCCAGTACTCCTAGGTTTTCTAAATGGTTCTCTAACCCATATCAGCTTATGATGAAACCCTGTAATAAATAGGTATGTTGTTTCCCGAACTAAAATAAAAATACGTGGTGGGGTTTCAAAAGTTGGTGATAAGGAGAAAATTGTTAAAAGATGCAAAAGAAGAAAGTAGAAGAAATGCATAATAGACACAGTAGACAGGGATATGAGACAAAAGGAATAGTAATGACAAAGAACAATATAGGTTAATTGGGTATTAAAAGTCACAAGGGGTTGATGCATCTGTATTAGCCATTGAGAACGATCACTTTGAGCCATATCACCAATTGTCCCCAGCTGTCATTGGTTGTTACCATCCTGAGGACCCCGATCAGTCGGAAAGTCTACACCTCCCTACGTGACTGGCTTAAACTAACTGTCATGGTTTTCATTGACTGATGAAGGTGTGTTTTGGTTTGACAACTACTGGTTCTTTTCCAGCCTAACCATAAATCAGCTAACATTGCCCGTTGTCGAGGAAGGCGATGACTAGGCATACGTGACACATGTCCTAACCATGTCAGTCGATGTAGCTTCACAGCCTAGTCGATTGATGAAAGAGAGAGGTTAAGCAGTTGAGTGTGTCTGCATACTTGACAAGCGTGAAGATGGCGAGCACAGAGAACTTAATAAAATGTACAAAAGCAACACATAAGAGCGGTTGTAACTGTATATTAATGACTAAATCGACTTAAACAAGTCCCCATTGAAAATGGAATTCCACAAGATTCATTAAGGGAAAAAAATACATGAAAGTGAAACAGATCCCTGGAAGAATGCAAGTGGTGTTATAGAAATTGCTGTTTATCAATTTTTGATTTAAAGGAAATCTTAATTGTCATAGACAGAGAGACACCATGACAACCCACCGCCAATCAATATGATCTACTCCTGTCTGTCATGATTGTCATGTGATAATTGTTTGGCTTAATGTAAATTCTCATCACCCAGGGTTGGCTTTATATGATTGCTGTATTCTATCCTCCTATAGGTATATTAAATGTGATTCATTAATCATTTTGTTCTACATATGGATACTGTTCAGTATGCCTTTGTCCTCCCTTGAATAACAGACAGTTCTTTTTGTATTGTTAGTTTTGTGAACTGTATTATTTCTTTGTGTTAAGAGTCACCTGTGTTTTAACAATACCAGTATTGATAGTGGGAACTAGTATCTATGGGTGAATTTAATCCTACAGGTGATACCGTAGTCAAGTACCTGAAGAGGCACTTATCCAGATCACTGAGTTATGGATCAATTTTAACAGTCGGCAAATGAACAATGGCTGTGTAACCACTTCACAATGTGCGTTTATAGAAATTCACTTACTCCAATGAAGCTAGTTTGTATTGGCCGACAGCCTCGTAAAGTCGGGTTGAGTCACGCCACTCCACTCGAGTAGTCTCTTAAAATTATATAAAAGGTAAGACCAAATGGTATAGGTGGTGTTAGCATTCCTCACTAGTGTATGACAGAAGCGCTAAAGAATCATCAACATAACTTTGAGCTGTGTTCAGCTTCTTATTCTGTCATAGTCTTAAGCTCTTTCCGAATTGTTCGCTACTACTTTCAGTACTAGAAACCACTTTTTAGTGAAACTGTATCGTTTATTTCAACCCTCCATTACTCAATAATGGACTACCGCGTGCTACACGGAATGTGGCGACTTGAACTTCCGCACATTTGTGCAAAGTTCTATGTCGAAAACAGACAGACAGACCATAAGTTTTTGGTAAACATAAATAAGATATACATATATATATACGTCACTTCGGCTGAGGCACTTCTAAACGTTTAGTTTAGAAAGCATATATGTGAAGAGTATAGATCTTCAGAAGGTGATATGGGAGACGGGAACGGTGGATTAGGTAATCAACAATAATGAAAATGATGAATGAGCACAAAACAGAACTCAATTCGAAGTAAGCTACGCGGAACATTAATATATGTGTTCCCCGGTAGTAGCAGATATATTAAGGAATAAGTGGGGAATACATAGCGAATGAAACGTTAACCCCCACTCCAAAAGTATGGTGGAGGTATGTAGATGACACATTCACTGTGCTTAGAACACAAGAAATAGATGGATTTTTCGAACACATCAACTCGAAGGTAGAGGCAATTCAATTCACTTATGAATTGGAAAGTCAGGAAGGGAAGTTTCAGATATATATCCATATAATATGTGTGTCTGTTTGACAGTCTGTTATATTTGCTAGGTATATATGGATCGATATTCATTTATAATTAGCCAATCATGTTAAGACTGTCTATTGATTTGTTCATTTGGAATATTCGCTCACACACTTGTGTCCACACACTTGTTCGGACATTCATATATTTTTGCTCTCACACTCTTGTGTGACATTGATTCTCCTGGTGTTTTGGAAAATAAAAGTATCATCGCAAACCTAGTGGTCTTCTGATTTCCGTCTTTCTTGCGTCAGGACTATTAAATTCTCGACCAGTACATAACAGTTTCCAATGTTAGACTGCAACGTAAGAAGGAAAGAAGATGGGAAGTTAAACACTAGTGTTTACAGAAAATCCACACATTCAAACAGATATTTGGACTTCAGATCCTCCCACCCTGTGTCAGTAAAAATAGGATTGGTGAAATGTTTAAGTGACAGAGCATAAAAACTAAGTAGTACCAAGGGAAATATAAGACAAGAAGTGATACACATAAAAGAAACCTTGAAACTTAATAATTACCTGGATAAATTAGTCAGGAAATACGTAATGAAATGTAAAAATAAAATATATAATGATAGTAGCGATAGTGATAATAATAATAATATTGATGACGACACCAACAATAAGGAATCTAAATCATCAGTAGTAATTCCATACAAAGAAGGAACCTCGGAAACCTTACAGCGGAGAATTCTTAACAATGCAGGAATAAAAGTGACTGGCAATCAAACCAACCACAAACTCAATTCGAAACAAGCTTTGTCAGTTAAAGGATCAATCCTGTGGAGCCTTTAAAACAAAACAATTTAGTTTATCTTATACCCTGCCTCCAATGATTGTCAGGTCAAATACATGAGTCAAACTAGTAGAACAGGGGTAGTCAGACTAGTCTAACATAAACCCTAGCAAAATCTAGATTGGTTGACCTGAATAAGATAAGAAATCAAGAGAATAGTTCAGTTATAGCACTACCTGGAATTACACACAAACATACAATAGAAAGATGGGATAGGATGACAGTTTTAAAATCTAATATCACAGGTTATAGGGAGAGATTGATAACAGAAGCTTTGTTTATCGAATTAACTGAAGAGAGTACGTGTAATAGGAATGATTCAACACCTGTCCAGCCAGATATCTGGAAAATTCTACTACCTTAGCGACGACTAATAGAAGACAAAGAAAACTATAAAACTCAAGCGAGAAACGATTAGCCACAGAGAACTATGAGGATATATCCAGAACGAAATGAAGATGGATTGGGTACACACTGAGGAAACCGTAAAATAAGATCCGGATTTTCAACTCCAATGTGAAGTCAGTGCTACTATACGGATCAGAGACTTGGCGAGTCATAAAGAGCATCTCAAACAAACTTCAAACCTTCATTAACAACTGTCTCCGCTCAATACTCAAGATCAGATGGCCAGAAAAGATCAGCAACAGGGATCTCTGGGAGCGAACCAATCAGGAACCGATTGTGAAACAAATAGGCAGAAAGAAATGGAGATGGATTGGCCATACGCTGAGGAAACCATCAAGTGACATCACTAGACAAGCCCTCGAGTGGAACCCGAAAGGGAGGCGGCGAGTTGGTCGTCCAAGGGTGACTTGGAGGAGGTCATGTGAAGAGGAGATGAAAGCATGTGGGCAGACCTGGAGCAGGGTGAAAAAGTTGTCAGAAAACCGAAGTCAATGGAGGTGCGCAGCTGAAGCCCTATGTTCCTCTAGGAACTAAAGGATACAATAATAAAATAATAATAATAATAATGAGGAAACCGTTGTTTAACACATCATTCATCAAGCGTACTACAAAGTGGAACCTGAATGGCTACCACAGTCTAGTCTTTAAAGTTATCAATCGTATGTACACAATTTCACTTTTGATAAACATTTCAATCACAAATAAATACGGATTAACATACCTTGATGAGTTGCAGGAGAATAAGGCCAAGTAACTCCAGGTCCAAGATTCACCGGAGCAGCTACTGGAAAGCCTCTAGATGGACCAGTATTTCCACCAACAGCATTACTATTTATCTGTCCAAGGGAATGATTCCCACTAAACAATGGTCTTGTCCCTAAATTCATGACATTCGGAGTTGGTGGTGGTGGTTGCCCTATAGGAAATAGAGTCCCTGGGACAACTGGACCACGATTTATGCCACGAAAACTTTCTGTATTTGATGGAATTTGGCCTTGTTGTGGTCGAGATCGATGCGAAGGATGTGACATTTGACTGGAAACAAAGTTAGCTGGATTTAGTGAATGTGATGCAAATGAAGCCTGAGATGTTGGTGGTTGTAGTGGTGTTGGTGGATGTGGTTGTAGTCCAGAATTGGTGCTTTGATGCCAACGAGCAGTTCTTTCTCCAAGACTTTCATAATGCGATTCCCAAATCCCTGTACCATTCGGTGGTTCACTTGGCCAGATATTTGACTCTAAATCTCTGCTTACTACTACTGATGATGAATTAGCTGAACTAAGACGTCTGGAATGTAAAGATGACTGTGTAGCAATAGCAGCAGCAGCAGCAGCAGTAATAGTTGTAGTAGTACCGGGAGGTGGAATATTTGATACTCCTCCACTCGACGACTGGCTTAAACCAGTAACTCGTGGCACGCTAGTAGTAGTAGACAAGTCATTATTAGCCGAAGTTCCTGTAATCAGCGCAGACGAGGAATGCATTGGTAAGCAATCACCATTTGCTTCAGAACAATTCCATGGTGTGCTCTGGTCAACTGGATGAATTCCCCATGGTTCTGTTGTATTGACAGCTGTACGAATCGCCTCTTCAGTATCACAAGTTGATGTGTCAATATCAGAGTTGGATTTTTTTGAAATATTATTACTCTGGCCTACATCAAATTCGGAGAGTTTATTATTACTACTATTTCGAATACTGGCGGCATTTATAGTTGAAGAGAAGGCTGATTGATTTTCAATAAAGTCAGATTGATTACCGAATCCACTAATAGAATTATTATTATTATTGTTATTGTTATTATTATTACTATTGATATTTATATTGGATAATGGGAAAGCTAATCCAGATCGATCATCTAAACAAAAGTGAATGAGAAAAAAGAAGTACAGCAGAATATATAAAAACATAGTTGAGTGAAAATTGTTTATATATTAGAGGTCAACAGTACATTTTAAGGCAATAATCAGATGAATAAGGCTGTGCATTAAGGTTAAACGTTTTGAGCTTGTCTAGGCTTAAGTAGCGCTCAGCTCAGCTAGGCTGTCTTGCTTACTAGCCATAAAGTCTATAGTAAACATAGCATAAGCTATATATATAGACGATACAAGCGTGAGTTACAACATTCGCACAGCTCAGTTATATGACTGTAGATGGTTTTCTATAGTCTTGGTAGACACATAAGAGCTATTCGCATACTATATTGGTTGGCAGGGATAACGATTTCATTGAATTCGGTAAATGCTAGCTTCGTTTATAGGGGCCTATGGTCACTATAGTGTTGCTACGCGTGCTACTCTTGCCTATAATAAATTTATTTTATTTTTATTTTTGATTACAGCTTGATTCCACACTGTATTTTTGGTACAAGTATGGAATTTTCAGCATGGATATAGGTGGCCTAAATTTTGCAGGCTGACCATAGTTATCAGGTGTGCATCGGCAGGGGATCGAACCTCTGACCGTATGCATGGTCGGCGAGAGTCCTAACCACTGTGCCACCGACGCACGTTTGGCTGGTCTTGTATACGCAATAAGTTCTACTGGGCTTGTTTATGCAGTGCATGAATGACTGACGCGATTATTGATCAGCGTAACTACGTTTACTTATGCATTAAGGCTAAACGTGGTTGGACAGTAACATAATGAAGATCGGATGTCCTAAATAGGATCACATGAACTCAACAACCACTCAGATTTTCAAGCAGTTAAGAATTAGCCACACCTATTGTGTGAAGGCTAGTTAGCTGTCTTTGATCACAAGTACCTGTGTTCTATCTCCCATGTTAAGTGACATAATAGGGTGAGTAATATTCAAGTTAGGCATCGGTGGAGTCGTAGGTTAGGAGGGAAAGTCAATCGAAGAGGTTGTAAAGTTACATTGATTGAAATGGTTAAGATATGTGTTACCCAAGACTAGCCATCACTTTCCTCGACAGTAGGCAGTGTTAGCTGACTGACTGACTAGCTGACTGACTGATTGACTGACTGACTGACTGACTGACTGACTGACTGACTGACTGACATAGGATGGATCAGGTTGGAAAAGAGAAAGCTAGTGGTGGTCAGATGAAAGCATGGCTTCATCAGTCAATGAAATCTATAACAGTTAGTTTAAGCCAAGTAAGAAGGTGTAGACTTCGTGGATAGGACGGTAAAAACCAATAACGGCTGGAGACACTTGATGACGTGGCTCAAAATCGTTCCCAATGCCTGGTGTAGATGCATCATTCACTCTTCGTGATTTATTTGTTATATCCAATAAAACTCTTTTGTTCTTCCATTGTTCTTAGTATTCTTCTTCCCTCACTTACAATTCTGTTTACTATCTCTTTCTTCCGAGTCTCTGTTTACCCTCTTCTCTTGTTTTGTGTGTGCTACATGAAGGGAGTGTGGGGCAACTCGACGAACTCCTGCACATGTGTGCAAAGTTCTATGTTGAAATCAATCAGTCAGCCGAGACCTCGGCAGTTGTAGAAGTGTTCGATCCCTTGATTTCAGGCTCTTAGACCGATGAACCACAGCTCTATTCATAAGTTTTGAATAGACGATAAAGTATCTCATGCAGATGATTACATAGACACAGTTGCTCGTTGACTGACTTCAATAAAACATGCTTGGTTGCCAGTCTATGAGTAAAATTTCCTCCCAGAAAGAATCTGTTCGGTTAGTATGTGAAAGACAACAAGCTATCACAGTGGACCACATACATCTCCATACGCATATACCGGTTCACTTGCTCCTGTAAACCTGAGTTCATTGGTTGTACAATGCGTTCACTTATAAAATGCTCTAGGGATTATTATTCAGTTTGGCTAGCAAAAGGAGAACGTAAGTGCGTTTATGGCTCGGTAACAGAACACATCTGGTGAACTTCGGACACTCAGCTCCATTTGGAAAGGATCTATACAAGATTCGGTCAAACCCCTAAAAGGGAATGAGATTAAGATATGTGGGCGTAGCTGAGACACTACCGATCCCGAAATTCAAAGAAGTACCTCCAACCTCTGTCTTTAACATTATTATTATTGTTTCCTTTAGTTCCTAGAGGAACATAGGTCTTCAGCCCCACATCTCTAATCAGTTCGGTACTCCGCCAACGTTTTCACCTGGCTCCACGTCCACCCAGATGCTTTTATCTCCTCTTCACATCACCTGCTCCTCTATGTCACCCTGGCACTGACTACCAACTCGCCAATCCCCATTCGGGTTCCACTCAACCAATCGCTTGTCTAGTGATGCCACTTGGTGGTTTGTGTTACTCACATTATGGCCAATCCACCTAACTCCATTTCTCCCTGCCTATTTGTTTCACTATCGGTTCCTGCTAAGTTGGTTCTCTCATTGCCAGAGATCCCTGTTGCTGGTCTTTTCTGGTCATCTGATCTTGAATAGCATTGAGCGAAGACAGCTGTTGAAGGTCTGTAGTTTGTTTGAGGTACTCTCCATTACGCACCATGTCTCTGATCCATAAAGTAGCAATGACTTCACATTGGAGTTGAAAATCCGGATCTTATTTTCATTTTTATGCTGAGTTCTGTTGATCCCCATAAAGACTTGAGAGAAATGAAACTTGCCTTGCCTTTCTGATCCTTGCCTTAATATGCTCGTCAGTTCCGCCTGTAGTTGAAACGACGCTTCCCAGGTAGGTAGGTAGGTAAAGGAGGTTGCGTACTGATGAAGAGTCCCAAACTAGGACGAAACAGCTGTCCAGTACTCCCAGATTTTCCAATGGTTCTCTAACCAATGTCAGCTCATGATGAAATCCTGTAAACCAATCAAATCCCTAAACCCAACACTTAAATATAGCAATTGTTGGACGCCGAAAAGCGTGTCTATGTTCTAGAATCTGTTGGAGAGTGAAGGTATGATCTATGCACCTTCTACCTGGTCTAAAGCCTGCTTGATTTTCCCTCGTCTGTTCCTCCCGAGTTCTGCTTAGTCTATGCATGATTACTGAGACTAGGATTTTAGAGACTATGTTCGTTAGGCTGATCCCCCTATGATTATCACATGAGGACTTGTTTCCCTTCTTGAATATCGGTATAATAAGTTGGGGACTTACTACAGATTAGGAGAGGCTTAGGAATGAATTGTCTAGGAGTCAAAACCGGACAACATGCTTGGTTGGCAGGCATTAAACTGTCGGCACACACAGTGAAAGGATAAAATCAACTGTTAAGACAAGACTACTACTACTACTATCATCTAAACAAAAGATGAAAATGAACACTTACCATTCAGTAAATCTTGATCACTTCCCAATGTCCAATTCATATATCGACGAGTATGATGCTCTGAACTTGTAGTTTCCGATGGTGGTAGTGGTGGTGGTGTAGTTGCCAGGGTTACATTCAATTGTTGACCAGTAATTGCTCTTGGCGCAGTAGGACAATTATTTGAATTATCGAAAGACCATGGGTTAGGATTATTAACAGTTTGTGTATGATTTAGAATATTAGGAAATGAATTAGGTGAACCTAACAGTGAATTGGTATTTCCAGCAGCACCAATAGCAGCAGCAGCCGAAGCTGTTTGACCTGAAAAAGGTGTGGTAGTTGCCCACTAGAAAAAAAATAATAAATCAATAAATAATTATGATATAATCGATTTCAGTTATTTGCATATATATAAATGGAATAAAACAAAGGATTATATGAACAGGAATTTTTCTTTCTAAAAACGCAGTTGCTCAGGAAACCGACTGCCATTTCCCGCTGTTTCATTTGTAGGTTAAAGAAAAGCGAGCAGAATGGACCAGAAATTTCTAACATCAGCCATTTTAGCGCCTATCGACCAATCTGTTATGTATATAAAGTAAAGATAAGTATCTCTAAAATTAACCACCATCCTATAAATTGGGGTTCTAATTTCTACGTCTGATTAAAACGCAAAATTAGCACACTATAATCCCCGAGAGATGTGGCACACTAAATCTCCAAGTACATACGAGGGCTGAGATACTGCCAGGAGGTCCAGACAGAGGCAGATGGTTGTCTGAAGGAACTAACCCCACACCTGAGTCTTTGACTTCAAGTCTTCTGATTCACAAGGCGGTAGAAAAGAGTCAGGAACTAAGTTCCCCTAGTTTCTGGTAACTAAAACAGATTCAGTGGACGCCATTCGATCCTTTTGGATTCTGTAGCCCATGTGTAAACATCAAAGGTTCAGAGTTAAGGTATTCCAGCTGCCCTAGGTAGATAAACCAGCATATCCACCAGTAATGTTGTAAACGCCAGATGTGAGGAACATCCTCACCATGTGAAGGATAAATCTGGCAGATATTCACTTGGCCCTCATCTGGTCAATATAACAGATATTTAAAAACTCACTCTATAGGTGTCAGCAGATTCCTCAGGTAGGTATCGAGGACTTCCTAGTGTGAGGTTAGTATTGAATTCGAAAACATAAAACTCGCAACCTGAAATATAAATTCCAGTGGACACTCGTCTGTGTTGAGCTGACCCGATGAATGGATCCATAGGGTTTTGATACTTATCAACGCAGCCACAGAATGCAATTTGAAGGGATGAATTTTAACAGAATTTATACAGTTTTAAGCTAAAAGTAGAGCACCTTAAGCCACATAATACCTACTTATCAACTAGACTGATTGCCTAAGGTAAGTACCATGGGATTTAAACCTGAAGCATACCGGTTGATGTCAGAATAAACAAAACTGTGTATCAAAACCCCACCCCGCTAATTCTCTGTCTGTCTGTCTGGATTCAACATAGAACTTGGCACCAAAGTGCAGCAGTTTGAGTTGCCACGTTCCAAATAGCACACAAAGGTAGACAAGGAGATGAGTGGAGAGAATTAATAAAGTTTCACAAGTATAAGAGTGAAACAGAATGGGTAATATAGTGGAAAGGAATATGAAAGATTACAGAGATTGAATACATCTGAGCTGGCCATTGACAACGATTTTGAGCCATGTCACCCCTATTGTCTCCAGCCATTGATTCCTAGAGTCAGTCCCGAGGGCCCCAACCCGGAAGTCTGCATCTCCTACCCTACCTGACTCAGTTTAACTGTCAAGGATTTCATGGATTGATGATGTTTTTTTTTAGTCACCACCACTTACTCTTTTCCAACCTGCACCACCTATATCAGCTAGTAATGCCCGTTGGGGGAGGCGATGGTTAGGCGTGCGCAGCACGTCACCTAGCCATCCCAATCTATGTAACTTTATAGCCTCATCGATTGATTTTCCCTCTTTGCCCAACACTCTACGCCTAACGTCAACATTACTTACCTTATTAAACCACCTAACGTGAGACAGAGATCGCAGACATCTATGATCGAAAGGAGTCAACCTAATTAACCAAACTAAGTATTGTAACTACAGAGGACAAGGGTCAGGGGACAGAGCAGTTATCAAGAAAATCAGGAGGGACTTATAGATTTTTATGTACATTATTATCAGCGTTATTGTTAGCAGAGAGAAGCAATCTCTTCTAACTGGTTGTTTTCTTGCTGAAGGTTATTATTAAGTTATCTCTTTTTGACCGTTTCTTAGAAAGTTAAGCCTTATATCTACGAATCGTATTTGCACACGTTAAGTCTGCTGTGATTGGTTGGTGAGTTACTCAAGGTTAAGCTTTGTTATTGTTGTTTTTTTCTCATGACTCCGATTTGGAACATAAACACTGACATAAATTGTTGTCGACAATTTTCGTTTGCAGACAGCTCTCACCACAGTATTACTGTTCCCCAGCATAATGCGGTCTCCATTAATTAGAGGATGCACAACGCCACGGGACAACTTAACAATTAATTACTGAATACAGGCTATAAGATATATATGCATTACATAGGTGTTGGTTAGATCAAGGTCAGCAGTATAAGCGTCGGTGGCACAGTGGTTAGGACTCTCGCCGACCATGCACATGGTCCGGGGTTCGATCCCCTGCCGACGCACACCCGATATCTATGGTCGACCTGCAAAACTTGGGCTACCGACATCACATGCTGGAAATTCCATACTTGCACCAAAAAATATGGTGTGGAATCAAGCTGTAATCAAAATAAATAAACAAATAAATAAAAAGTTGAAAAGTTAGCAGGGATCTTAAGTCCCTCTGGCTAAGACCCAACCAAGAACCTATTGTCCAATAAAAGAAGCAGAAGGAATAGGTGGTGGATTGAGCATCCCACTGAAGAAAATATTGAGTGGCATCAAGCGCCAAGCTCTTGGGTGCAATCCAAAGTAGCAACAATAAGTTAGACACTCGAGGTTGACATGAAGAAGATCGTCTAAGAAGAAGGTAATCAAGCCCTACGAGCGATCATGGAGTTAGCTAATAAGAAGGATCGCAGAGAACTAGGTGAAAGTTTGACAGGTTGTTGCAGCCCTATGCTCCACTAGAAAGTTGAGGAAATAATAATTATTATAATTATGGTCACTCAACTGTTGCCTAAGTGTTAGGAAGAAATGCAGAGAAACCACCACATAGTCGGCGAATGTGTCTGAATATTGATAATTTCGAGCAGTTAATGAACAGGTACTTACAGCTAGAACGCACGAACGAACAAACAAACGCGCATACATCTTTTACTGTGATATAATTGAAAAAATATATAACTTCCTATAAGAAACGACTAACATATTTCATAACATCCAAGTATTGGTTTGTAGGGATTTGGTTGATGATGACGTTTAACTCAATTCTAGATTTCCCCGTCGATTGATTGGACAGAAGTGTTTCGTCTAAGCTTGACATGTCGGTTCCTTGTGTAGTGCAGATGCTTCGACGATGTCTGGTCATGAAGTCAATTGCTGGATAGTGACTAGCAGTGGAATCCCGAATAACGCGCGTTTCGGCCTATTTAGGACTCGTACAAGCTGGATGTACCTGCATTTAAGTTGCATGGCCGGACATCGTCAAAGCATCGGCACAACAAGAAGGAGACATGTCAACCTGAGACCGAGCGCACCTCAGCTGGATCAATCGACGGAAAAATCTGAATTGAATTAAGTAAACAACAGGACCCGTCGCACAATAGGTGGCTAGCTTTTGTGGCCCAAATGGTCTAGTGGATAACGCTTTGACCTTTGAAACTATGGGCACTGGGTTCGGGTCTCAGTGGGAAACACAATATCACTCACTGAGGAATGAAGCTAAATCCAGTTTGGACGAGTCCCGAATAGAATGAAACGTGCGTCCACCTGCCAGTCACCATCCAACAATTGATTTTATTTCATAAGGGTAAGAATTACATCCAACTGTGTTGTTTTTGTACTTTTGTTATTAAATTAGTTCAGTTGCCAAATAGTGTAATTTTGATATAATAGTTAGTAATTTTATATTCTAATTGTAAAACTAAACAATAACATCAGGGTATATATATAAGCAGCCAATAAGTGAAGCATATACATAGAAACATTATCCCCTTTTCTATTCAATTTCATCATAGATGTACTAATGGACTTAACCCTAAGTGACTTCAGTGACTCAGGGATTGACTTGCTACCGTAAGGGAATAATCTCGTTGACTTAGAATATGCACACGATATAGTCCCCCTAGGTGACGACTCTGACAAAATGCAGAGTCTTCTAAACACATTGAGCAGCAATCCACGAATGTTTGGCATGCGATTCGCTCCCGCCAAATGCAAGATGATGTTACAGGACTGGACTACATCGACAACTAGTTTAAAAATAGGAAGTGAAGTGGTAGAGCACGTTGACTGCTTCACTTATTTCGGAAGTACCATCAGCCAACGCCAACAGGTTGATCGCTGACGAAATCTCAGCTGAGTACGGATAGAGAGGGCTAGTTTCGCATATGCCAGTTTACGCCGTCTCTGGTGTAGACGTGATATCCGGCTGAGTGTCGACCAAAAGGCGGGTGTACTGCTCATCAGTTCGCTCCGTCCTCCTTTATGCCAGTGAATGAGACATGGCCACTGAGAGTGGAAGACATGAAAAGCTTGACTAGCTGTTTTCGATCATAGGTGCCTGCGCTCTATTTCCCGTGTAAAGTGGCATAATAAGGTGAGCAATATTGAGGTGAGGCGTCAGTCGAGTGCTAGGTAAACAGAGGAAATCAATCGAAGAAGTCGTGAAGTTACAAAGACTGAGATGGTTAGGACATGTGTTACGTATGCCAAGCCATCGCCTCCCTCGACGAGCAATGTTAGCGGATGTAGGGTCAGGCTGGTAAAAGCTAGCGGCGGTCAAACAAAAACTTGACACCAGTCAATGAAATCCACAACAGTAAGTCTAAGCCACGTAGGAAGGTGTAGACTTCCTGATTGATTGGGGTCCTCAGGACAGTAAAACCAATAGTTGGAAACAATTGGTGATATGGCTCAAAATCGTTCCCAATGACAGCGCAGATTCATCCACTCCCTGTGACTAATCATACCCAATGAAACTATATTGTTCTTCGTTATTACTATTCCTTTGTCTCACACCTCTGCTTACTGTCTCTATCATGCTTTTCTTGTACTTTCTTCTCTTGCTTCGCGTGATACATGGAGTGTGGAGACTTGAACTTCCGCACATTTGTGCAAAGTTCTATGTCGAAAACAAACACACAGACATAGAAACAGTTGCACTGCCATCTCAAGTGTACTGTGCCAAAAAAGTGCACATATGATAAGGAGAGGTGTTTAATAATAAGATGTTATATCTTCAAAAAATAGTCGACAGTAGTCGTCAGACTGTGTAAGGCTTGAATAACAACAAAATTGACTGACTAGAATTTCAAATGTAGAACTTTGCACAGATATGTAGCAGCACTTTAAGCTGCTGCCCCGCCTCAAGTAGCACAGAAAGGTAGAATAAGGAAAAACCATCTAATTTAAAGGAACTATAATGAATGGAAGCAAGAATAATTACGTGGAGAAACAGTATGAGGACTTAATGGATCTGAGGGTGAATGTGTTAGCGCCATTGAGATCGGTTTGAAGATATATCATTAACAGTCTCTAGCCATTGGGAGGAGACCCCAACTAGGCTATCCATCTACACCTACCTACCTACCTACAAACCTGTCTCAAATCGATTGTCAAGGACACCTCTAACCCTATGTTAATTAACATTGTTCAGTATGGGAGGCGGTAGGCTAGGCATGCGTAAGACGTGTCCTAGCCTCTCCAATCGATGTAGCATCATAACAGCCAATTCAGATTTGTCATTCATTTATTGATTTGAAATTTAAATGTCTAAAGAGTTTCGGAATCCCGTGTGTCAATTTGTAACACAGTATCACAGTCATCAATAAATGTGTATTTTCTCTCTCTCTCTCTCTTTCTGATCACAGATCGACAATTTAGAAGCAATCAAATCCCCGACGAACTCAGATTTTGAGAAACCAACACCTTCAATATCGGTGCTTAGTAGTGAGATGAAATTAACTGAAATTCTAACAATGACAGATAATCATCGAAGGTAGTGACGCTACATTAGGAATTTTAAATATGAAATATGCTATTGTAATTAATTTTCAACTACACCATCAACTACCAAAGATTTCTTTCCAATGGGTGCCAGATACCACTGAGAGTTCATGCCTTATTTAGTCCACATTCTTAAATAATCTTGGAAAATCTAAAACTACTTTCAAGTATGACTACGGATCGATATCAATTAGAGAACTATTGAAAACTAAGAAGTACTGGGCAGAGTGCGGTTTCAACCTAGTTTGGGACTACTCCTCAAGAATTGGTAGGAGATAGGATTCATGAGCTGGTCAGTGTGGCTGCCTGCACTACAAGCTTGACTTGTAACCAGAAGGTGGTCCTGGGCCAGAATCCTGGCGGTGGGTGCGTAATGACGAATATAGTTTCCAACGAGGATGAAACAGATGTTGTTCAGTACACCTTGCTGGTTTCCAATGTCTCTCTAACTGATGGCAATCTGTGATCAAAATCTTGAATCAAATCAAACCTTAAAAATAAACCAACTGTAATCTTAAAACCAGTCTGAACAAATCGAACTTGTCAGGCCGAAACAGAATATTATTACAATGCGATTGGACAATACCTTTCAAGCTGAATTTACGCAAGTCAATTAGATTAGTTATTTATTTGGCTTCACTTTTACAAGGTGGATAAAATTTGTATACTACATTTCTTTTTTGTATCATAACAGTCGATCGTTCCCACTGGCTGCGACCAGTGTGTTGTCTTATATGTGTGTATTAGCTCCCACGCTGGTGGACAAGAGTCACTGGAAATAGGCATTTTTACTTGCTTTTCAAACAACATGCTTATTGTCTATCTGCATTGAACCTTAATAATTGTAGTGGCAATCCTATCAACCCATTAAAAAAATTTCAGAAGTATCCTTCTAGCCTATGATTGTTGGACAGACAGAGAGAGAGAGAGCGCGAGTTTCAACATAGAACTTTGTACAGATGCGCAGGAGTTCGTCGAGTTGCCCCACACTCCCTTCATGTAGCACACACAAAACAAGAGAAGAGGGTAAACAGAGACTCGGAAGAAAGAGATAGTAAACAGAATTGTCAGTGAGGGAAGAAGAATACTAAGAACAATGGAAGAACAAGAGTTTTATTGGATATAACAAATAAATCACGAAGAGTGAATGATGCATCTACACCAGGCATTGGGAACGATCTTGAGCCATATCATCAAGGGTTTCCAGCAGTTATCGGTTTTTACCGTCCCAAGCCCCCCCCCCATCCACGAAGTCTACGCCTTCTTATGTGGCTTGAACTAACTGTTGTGGATTTCATTGACTGATGAAGCCATGTTTTCATCTGACCACCACTAGCTTTCTCTTTTCCAACCTGATCCATCCTATGTCAGTCAGTCAGTCAGCTAGCACCGCCTACTGTCGAGGAAAGTGATAGCTAGTCATGCGTAATACATGTAGCTTCACAACCTCATAGAGTGACTGACTTTTCCTCCTTACCTAGGACTTGACCGGTGCCTAACGTCAATATCTCTCATCCTATAATGCCACTTAACACGGGAGATAGAATGGAGGCACTCGTGGTGAAAAAAAAAACAGATAGTCTTTTCATATCTTCTACTTTCAATAACCTCCTAACAGGCATAAAGGTAGACGGAGTAAACTGCTAAGCAGTAGTACATGTCCTTCAGCCGACAGCCACTAAAAGAAGGATTTTGAACCGTATCACACCAATAGTCTTGGAGCCACTGGTTTTTAGATAACACGCATATGGCGATATCAGTCCCCCGCACCCCCCCCGGCACAATTTTACAACTATTATCACCATCATAAATGACATGTTAATGAGAAATAACAAAGTCTTACCTGGTTATCGGTTGATGATGTGGATTCCTGAGATAAAAAGCCGCCAACATTACGATCTGTAAGTCTGGGTGAATCAAAGACTGGAGGCGGCCACATTTGACCTGTAGCAGTAGTATTAGCAACAACGGCAGCAGTATTAGCAGTAGAAGAATTATCCGAATTCTTTGAATTAGCATAGGATACTAAAGAACGAATCGATTGAGTCTTTTTATCAATAGAATCTTCGATTTGATCACGTTTTTGTATCAAATCGATATCACCTCTATTTGTTGTAGACCATGGAACAGCTGAAGGTGCAGAGGAGAACGCAGAATGGGTGCCAGCAGTATTACCGGAACCAACACCAGGTTTACCTAGAATGTAAATAAACCAATATCGACAATTAGATACATAATGATATAGCATAACGCTGAAAAAAACTTGTCCGCAAATATTTTCATCATGGATTGAAACCGAGTGCTACATAACCACCTATGAAAAACAAAGAGCATAATTTCAATGTAGGTTACGGCCTAAATCATCACTGAAAACGATGGAGTGCCGCTTCGTCTTATTTTTGGGCTCCTAACCAATGCACACCCACGCCCCCCTCGTTGTAATCTAAATATCAGTCTTCAACTCCTTGGTGGTTACTGGATGGATGCCCTGAAGCTGTGTACTGAGAAATTCTGACCAGTGAGCTTCACCATGTCAAGGTGAAGTGGATGCTCATCGAAAGCACTACTTGTTGACGGCGGTATATTACGAATTGACCCAAGTGCGTCGGTGGCACAGTGGTTAGGACTCTCGCCGACCATGCACATGATCCGGGGTTCGAGCCCGCACCGACGCACGTCTGATATCTATGGTCGGCCTGCAAAATTTGGGCTACCGATATCCATGCTGAAAATTCCATACTTGTACCGAAAATACAGTGTGGAATCAAGCTGTAAATCAAAAAAAAAGTTAGAATTCACAAGTTACTGAATTCCTGCCCAAGTGGCTAAATGGACAACGAGCTTGGCATCGTAGTCTGAAAGTCCCGGATCTCATCCCTTGTGGGATTTTGGGTGTGTATTGATGAAGAACTCAGAAAGAGGACTAAGCAGTTGTCTGATGTTCCCTGATCTTCAATAACCTCTAACTGATGTGTTGGGGTTATGTGAGTGCTGGAGGAGGGGTGATGGATGGGATTTTCAACTGTATAATGAAGGCTAGGGTAAAATACATCAACTTGAGCCACCTCCGTCGCGACGTTAGCCTGGCTGTCAATGCTTCGGTGCGGGGTGTCTTGCTATACGCCTGTGGAACCTAACCTCTGCGAGCTGAGGATGTGCAGCGACTCTGCGTGTTCGATCATCGCTATCTCCGCAGGATTGCTTGCGTTCGATGGCATCAACGCGTGATTAATTCTGAGGTTCGGCGGTGTGTGTGTTTAAACACAGTGAAGATCACCATTCGTTGAGTGTCGTCAGCTGGAAACACCGGCTCCGGTGGCTTCGACATGTGCTGCGAATGTCATTCCAGTGGCTTCCGTATATGTCTCTGTTTGCTAGCCCTGGGACGGGATGGAAAAGGCGGAGGGTTGGTCAGTCCATGACGTGGCGTCATGGGACGAAGGATTTTTGTGCTAGATTAGCATCGGTTAGTGCGTCACGACTCCCTCGTCGGGGTCCGCGAGATAGCTCGAATCGATGGCTCGAAACGTTATCGGATACGGTCAAGAACTGTAATCAATGGCGAACGTGTTGCAGTTTCCTTCTTTCTTCCCTTCCCGATGATAGTTGACGAATACTGTTTGAACTTGTTAAACATGACTGTTTTCCTTCCAGATGAAGCTCTTTATCCGTTCTCTAATTATATTTTTTTTTCTTTACTTTTGATCTATGTTGTTTATTATTATTGCGTGGCGCATCTTTCTTGGTGCCATAATGCACCAAGTTTTTTCTGCGTTTAAATAGATAAAATAAATAAATAATGGGGTTGATGACGAAATCTACATTGAAAATTTAAGATCAGTCCTAGTGTAATCACCTTCCAACTACAAAGACCAACACGACAATATTTTAAAGCATATAATCTATCAACTATTACTACTTACCGGGTGTCCTATTCCATGGTGTATTACCGTTATTAGTACTAATGATACCGGTGGTAGTATTTGTGACTTGAGACATCAGGTAAATATTGACTGGGCCTGGCAAGAAGGCATCTACAAAATAAGCGTATGAAATTCAGTTACACATTCAATGACAAAATATAAAGTAAGGGGAAACTTCTTTTCTTAAATCAATGCATGACATCATAGTTTTATGAGGCATATTCGTAACTGCATTAAGATATTGAAACATTGAAAGAAGAATCTTTATAAAGAGTGATAAATCTTCTATTTTACAGCCCGTGATAGCATATAACGGATACCAATCATTATTATTAATCCCTTGGGTTTCGGATGTTGTATAGGGCTACTTTTCCATATGTCTGTCTGACTATTTTCGACATAGAACTTTGCACAAATGTGCGGAAGTTCAAGTCGCCACACTCCATGTATCACGCGAAGCAAGAGAAGAAAGTACAAGAAATGCATAATAGAGACAGTAAATAGAAGTGTGAGACAAAGGAATAGTAATAACGAAGAACAAAACAGTTTCATTGGAAATCATAAGTCACAAGGAGTGGATGCATCTGCGCCAGCCAGCCATTGAGAACGATTTTGAGCCATGTCGCCAATTGTTTCCAACCATTGTTTTTACCGTCCCGAGGACCCCAGTCAGGAAGTCAACACCTTCCTACGTGGCTGGCTTAAACTAACTGTTGTGGATTTCATTGACTGGTGTCAAGTTTTTGTTTGACCGCCGCTAGCTTTTTCCAGCCTGACCCTACATCCGTTAACATTGCTCGTCGAGGAAGGCGATGACCAGGCATACGTAGCATATGTCCTAACCATCTCAGTCTTTGTAACTTCACGACTTCTTCGATTGATTTCCTCTGTTTACCTAGCACTCGACCGACGCCTCACCTCAATATTGCTCACCTTATTATGCCACTTTACACGGGAAATAGAGCGCAGGCACCTATGATCGAAAACAGCTAGTCAAGCTTTTCATGTCTTCCACTCTCAGTGGCCATGTCTCATTCACAGACATAAAGGAGGACGGAGCGAACTGATGAGCAGTATACCCGCCTTTTGGTCGACACTCAGCCGGATATCACGTCTACGCCAGAGACGGCGTAAACTGGCATATGCAAAACTAGCCCTCTGTATCCGTACTCAGCTGAGATTTCGTCAGAGATCAACCCGTAGTCTTTTATTAACTGAATCCATGATTACCTATAAGCCTTGCCTTTCTTCTCAAACGATCTCCAAGTGCATATTCAACCCAATTCCGTTTGTTACGGCGCATTTCTTGGGAAACATTCTTTGTTGGCTCATTCCCAAAGTACCTTGGTGCTTATTATTTCTGGCCGACCACCTGATCTTTAGCATCAAGCTGATAAACCCAGCTGTCAATGCAAACCCGTAGTAGTCTGTTGGAAATGCTTTTTAAGGATGCATATGCCAAGTTTTTGAACCATACAGAGGCAATAACTTGTTTTTATTGTTCGATATCCGGATATTTGGTTCTTAAGCTAAGCAGAGTAGATTTCCACACTAATTTCAGCATAATGAAGTTCTGTCTTGCCTTTACGATCCGAGCTGGCTCTGACATCCCTATCTATGCAGCCTGTCTTTGGATTTCTCCCGCTGATTGTGACTGATGCTTGCTGTTCAGGTATCTTCATCCCGTCTGTCTCCTCCATGTTCAACTGAAATTCTGTCTTTTGCTGCTTCCTCTACCCAATTGTTTGTTTTCACCTGTAGACCTCGAGATTTGTGTGATATTATAAACAAATTATCTGAAAAATCCACCACATTTCCTAGAATCTTTTTGTCGGTTCAACGTAAGGCCCCACGATCTGCTTCACGATCGAATCCACGACAATCAGGAATATCACCGGAGATATCAGGGAGCTTTGTCTTATGACATCGATGGAATAGGGAATATGAGTGTTAAGGCTCCAGGGTAATCTAAATTACGTGTTGCTTTAAAATTTCAATCGAAAAATGAAACGTTTTCATCACCACTTCTTTAATGATCTCTGACATTATTTTGCATTTCTCAATTTTCACAGATCATAGGAAACATTAAAAAAAGACGGTTGCATCGAATAAAATTATCTTTTTGACGAAGTCATCAACTAGACTGTACATTCGTCAATCTACAATAGATGGGCGAGAAAGTTTCAGAACTCTTGACCGAAAATAGTTCAAGAACTTTTCACTCATTTACTAAAAATTCACAAATGTACAGTCTAATTGATGACTTCTTAGAGAAGAAAATTTTACTTTGTTAAAACTGTCTCTTTAATATTTCTTCGGGTATTTAGCTGATCTCAGTAGGCAGCTGTTGTTGTGTTGTGAATAACTGACGCTGAAGAGGGAAATTCCACATACATAACCAGGATAAACTGAAACACAGCCTATTCATAAGGGGAAAAAATGCCTCTTAGACAATTCCAGAAATATTTTGGATAACTTTAATTTGTATTGTAGTCTTTCAGATAAGAAATCTCAGACTTTATTTCAGGAAAATTGACAGAAAAACGGAGGAGGGGATAATTTTCTCCTTCACTATCAACGGATACTTGGTCTTTAAAGAATGAATGAAAAATACTCGTAAGACATAAACCAAAAAGACTAAACTGCGGTCTTTCTGTTTTGACATATATGACTAACAGTCAGTTTCATTTATTAAACCAAGAGGCAGGAAATCATAAAATAAATGATATCCATCAACTAAGACCTAACCCTTATCACACACAATACCTTAGTGAATAACCTCCCAATATTTGAAATGATGTGTACATGGTTCAAAGCTCACTCAGTAAGAAAGCATCAATCAACCAGCTGATAAGTCATAACTAAATAGACATGCAAGTGCAAACAACAACAACAACTACCAAGCCAATAAAATAACAAGGTGTGCAGGAAAATATTTCCACAATAGCAGCATAGTTCACTTGAAAACAAAGTTAACTGCAGCATATCATGTGACTTTAAGCCTATAAACAAAATAAACCACGCCTTTTTGTTTGCTAGATAACACCAACAACTGATAATACCACCCTGACATACAGATTATGCAAAAACAATAAAGAAAGAAAGAAGCCTAATAACAAATGTATGTGAATAGCGAATTCTTTTGTATAAATAACAAAAATAGAATAAAAACAAAAACGGAGATAGTAAACTGTGTATTAGTTCAAAAATCAATAGTTCTTTTTTCCTCTCTCTCTCTCTCTCTCCCTCTCAAGATGCACACACATGCACAATAATAACTTGTTGCTGACTTTAATCATCATAAAAACATTAAAGCTATTATAATAAAAGTACAATTTTCTATAGTTGGTTTGTAAGGATTAGTTTTGTTCTTACAAATTGATTGTGGATTGATTGATATCACAGTTAGAGAACCATTGAAAACCAGGGAGTACTGGACAGCTGCTGTTTCATCCTAGTTTGGGAATCATCAGCAGTACGTACCCACTACAGTGTGGTTCGAACCCAAGACCTTCCCGGTTAGAAGACAAGCTAGTATACCATTCAACCACTGGGACCCGATTCAATGGCGCATGAATTCTAACTACTCCCTGGTTTTTAATGGCTCTCTAACTGATATCAATCCGTGATCAACTCGTATGAAAAAAGTACAATTATTTGGATCATGGTCAGTTAGTTTAACAGTTGGAACATGATGGTTACCAGAGAATAAATGAGGTAAAATGTCCAATTATTGGTATATATATATATATATACGAATCACTTTTATTCCTTTACATCCCCAGTGGAACATAAGGCCTAAAGCTAGAGCTCTGAAGTTTCACTAGCAATGGTATTTATTTTTACGGGAAAAGGTTGATGGCCTCATGTCCATCCTTTCCTCTTTACCAATTTCATTACTGGCTTAGAGAGATAAAGGAGAGCGTCGGCCTGGTATCGAACCCCGGACCAGATGAGGCGTGATTGGTGAGCATTCTACCGCTGTGCCATCGAAGCACACTGTACGAACTATAATCCTACAAAAGTAAGGCTAGTTACTTGATGAAAGGACGAAATGTTATCGTTGATCTCGGATTGGTACCACTTAGAGATCCATTGATAACCGCGGAGTACTAGACGGCAGTTTCATCCTTGCTTGGAACTCTTCAAGTAGTGCTCACCCATGACCACACCAGAAATGATACAAGTTAGAATTCATGGGCTCATTGGCTGAATGATCAATGAACTCGCCATGCTAACTGAAGGTCTTGGGTTTGGTTTCCGGTGACGGGGTGCGGACTGATGAAGAGCTTTGAGACAGGACGTAACAACTGTCCAGTACCCCCTGTGAGTTTTTAATGGTTCCGTAACTGATGTAGATCCTTTACAAACTAACACTTGGAAGGTTAATGCGATCGGCGAATATTTGTTGTAAGCTTCACAGTGAAGTTACGAACGATTCCATTAAAGCAACATTACAATTCAGGAAGTGATTGACTATTTATCTGTTTTTACAGAAGTGGGAAACAACAACCTAACGAGTTTTAAGAAATCAACAACTATGCAAATACGTTTACAATAATAGCTATAATGTGATTCCCTTAACTACTACAAAATTTTACGTATTAGCTGAGTTTTTAATGCAGATTTCTGTACCAAAGTACAGCAGTTTAAGCGACTATGCTTCATAACGAATACACAAATGAATAGGAACTACAATGAAACGGAAAATTACGGGAAACAGAATAATTACATGGGGAATAGAGTGTGTTGGATCCAGTGGTATATTATGAATGAATGCATCAACCCCACTGGGGACGACTTCCAGCTAAAAGTCTCAAGGCATTGATTATTAGCATCCCGAGGATCCTGGCGGGGCAATCTACGCTTCATTGTATGACTTAAATCAACACAGTCAAAGACTTAGTGGACTGATGCCATGTTTTGACTTGACCACCCTGAATTCTTTTCCAATCTAACGTAAACATCTGTGGTTGAAGACAAGTAGCCTAATCAAGTCTTTCACTTTAAACGTGTCACACAGAAATCGATAAGCACTACACACCTTTGATCGATAACACATCTACGCCAGCGATG